CTGCTAGAGAGTAGGGAAGCACTGGGACCGTGTCGATAGGGTGGGAGTAGAAGAGAACACATTCTCAGTGGGGTCTCCAGAGAGCCTGGTGTGGAAGGCCAGGGCACATTTCCAGAGCACTGAAGCCAGGCTGGTGAGAGTAGAAGTAAATGCTGTGGAGAAGGAGGCAAGAGGTAGGGTCAGCGGGCCGTTGGAGGGCCTAAACCTCCTTGGAAGATAGGCAGAAAGGTCTAGACTCTATCCTTTGGCAGGGAAACCACTGTAAGAAGTCTGAGCAAAAGTGTTGGTTTGAAGGAATTGGTCTCTTGAGGTGACAAGTCAAATAAGTGATGCACCACCAGTGGGACCAGGTTTCTGCCAAGCGCTCGGCTGCACGCTGTGCATAACCAAATGAATAAGGCACAGCACCTTTTCTCAAAGAGCTCATAGAAGGAAAGATGAGATCACAACACAATGCCCTGATGGCAGGGCTAGGGTGCTGGGTGAACACGGAGAAGAGAAATGGCATCTCATCCCGCCTGAGAGTGGAGAGTGGTCAGAGGAGGCTTTCTGGAGGAGGTGAGCCAAAGACCATGGGGAAATTCGCCATATGTTCTATTAAACAACTACGACGTAACAACCATTGTTCTAGGCCCTGGGAGTACAGCAGGGAACAATAAGCACAACAAAAATATTTTTAAAATTAAATTATATAATATGCTACATAAATGCTACATAGAAGAATAACACAAGAGATCAGAGAGTATGTGTGACAGGGCTTGGTTATAAGAAATGTCAAAAACTTGCACCACAGCGGTTGTAGGAGAGATGGAGAGGAGGGGATGAATTCAAGACATGTTTAGTATAAAAAAAAAAAATAGGTCTCAGCAACTTACAGCATGTGGAGTCTAAAGGGGAAGAAGAAACTCAGGAAGATGCCAGGATTCTGTTTTAGGGAAGGGCTGAGGGGGAGGGGGGTTGCTACCACTGTAAACAAATTCACCAAAAGTGTCTTTTCACTCTTTCCCACTCAATCTCTTTCAAACAACTGTGACTGCCCAGAGGTATACCTTAGAATTCAATCTTTCCATGTAAAGCTTTAACTCCTGTTAAAAGACTTGTACCAAAGTTTAAACCATGATCAGTTGTCTACATCTTAGTTCTTGTATTCTAAAAGTGGGGTCCATGAATGGGGCTTCAGAGTACCTGTGAATTCTCTGATATTGTCAGGATTTTTCTAGGGAAAGGAACTATAGCCTTCATCATGTTCTATAAGGGATGTAGGCCTCCACCTCTGTGCAGATTAAGTGCCTGAGACGAGGTAAGAGAGAAGTGCCTAGACACTTGGGAGAAAGCTGGGGCCCAAGAGAAGGGAGAGAGGAAATGGAAAAAGATAGGGGGAGGGTGATGCCAGAAGATCAGCCCTGAGTGCTTCTTCACTCACCTGAAAGGCTTGGGAGCTAACAGGAAAGGATGGGCTGTTCTCTGCTGCCCTCCCCCACTGTCCGGCCAGGACACCTGGGAAAGATAAAGTGAAGGGCCAAACCCTTCATTGAAGTACCCTTCACCAAAGTATCTGTGAGGTGGGCGTTAGTAAGGGGCTGGCCCCACAAAGCACACAGCCAGGGTGCAGAACAAGATGGTTCAGCCCATAGATGCTGCCAAGGGGTCGAGGGCCGAGGCAGATCAGAACCCTCCGAAGACCACCCAGAGCAGGTACTGAGCCTGCAACTTGACCCCACCAGCTCCTGCCAGGACCCTTGGCAGCCCCCAACGTGAGAGCATGGCCAAGTGTTAAAAGCAGAGGCTCACAGAGCAGCCCAGGAGACTCTGCAAGTTCCCAGGGCCGGATCTACTGGCCTTGGACTTTACTCGTGCAGGCGCTTGCCTCAGAGCCCCTTACCTTTTGGGGGTCTTAGGCGGCAGGTAAGAGGGTCTCCTTCCCGGACATCCTAGGAGGTAACTGGAGAGCAGAAGCTAGACGAAAGGGTAGGGGTAACCTGTTCTTAAAGGCAGGAAGTCCTGGGACCAGCGCTGGCAGGTGTTTTAGGCGTCAGGGACGGCCCTGGTCGCATTGCCTGGCGCGTCGCAGCACTCAGGCAGGTTGGAAAGACGGTCCCCCTACCCCACCCCTCCAGCCACTCCTCTCAGTGATGCCTCCTCCGTGAGTCTTCTTGGCCTCAGGAATTGCTCCCTTGCCTGGGAACTACCACGCGGTCTAGAGAGACCGTGGGCTATCGAAGAGTCTGGCCCGGGGTTGGCCCTGCCCGTCACTCCAGGAGGATGGACAGATGCAGGGACAGAAAGAGGGACTGGAGTTCACCTAGAGGTTTCTTATTAACTGTCCCCAACCAGCTAATTCCACCGCTTGTCTTCAAAGCTCTCTGCGCCGGGAGGCTGAGTCCGAGGACGGCGGGCGGAGGCGGGAAGAGTCGAGACCCCAGGTTATGGAACGGCGCGGAGACAGTGGCCACAGGGAGCGGGAACTCGGGTGCTGAAAGCAGTCCTGGAGGGCTGCGCG